TTGGAGACACTGAAGGTCATGGCTGCGAACCGACAGCAATGGCGATCATCCTGTCACTTTTATCAGTCCAGAATGCTTGAACTAGTAGGTTTGCGCAGTTGGGCTGTGTACTTTGTGTTGACCATAGAGTTTCGTTTTCTTTTCCCGTCCCTAAAAATAAGCCCAATCCCTGTCCTCCTTACACATTTTCACTTATCTTGTATGCATTATGAGTTTGGCAGCGATCAGTGAATTTCGCTTCATTGTATTACGCTGTACAATGATGATGATGATGATGATTCAGTAATGGAATCGATCCTGCAAACTACATAGTGACTAAAGCGTAGTCATCTTATCTGGAAAATTTTAAATGACTCGAAAAAAGGTGTTTGCGAGCATGCTTCAGAACATCCGTATATCGAGGATCACTTGCTTAGGTGGAAGATAGGGTGTAGCTAACTACGCTTAAATGACATTCGATTAGAATGACCAGTCACCGGCCACNTGAGTAACCGACGAATTCACCAGTGAGTCTGCAGTAAATAACCTGTATTGGACAGTAGTCCATTGAGAAACTAATCACGGTGTTTTCTTTTCACTCAGATTTTTCCACCTTGATTTGTTTGTCTGAATCCAGTCAAACACATATATATATATATATACATATATATATATATATACCATTCTGTTGGTCATATGATGATGAATGCAATCGGAAGTAATTACTTACACATTATCGAATTTCTCATCTTCCGACAAACCAGGGGTGAACCGATCCAAACCATCATCAACAGTCACAGTAGCAATTGGATTTTGTTCAATAATCAGGTCAATTTGTGAAGTGTTGGCTGGACAAGACTGTGATGTGGATTGTGCGGTTAAGGTAACCGGTTCGTAAAGGGATGGACCGTTCGATTGAAGATCTTCTTTTCCAGGTGGCATTTGCGAATTCGAAATCGCAGTGGGAACATCCGAGTGATCTGATAGAACGGCATTTGTGGAGGATGGCGTGAAAAATTGCCATTCTCTTGTATCATTGTTAGACAGTGACGGTATTGTGGGAGCCATGTCGTTTGGCACAGTGTCTGGTGGGGCAAAATAGTCTGCCAAAGATCGAGGGGACTTGGTCTGGACGGATTGCGCGGCCACGTTGGCATTGGTACTTGGAGGTTGTTGTTGTTGTTGTTGTTGCTGTTGTTCAGTTCGAACATCAAACAATGGAACTGTTGTACTCGTGCCGGAAAAATTCGTGAAGCTGCAGTGCCGATAAAAAAAACAGCATTGCACATTGCAAAGAAAATCAGTGAAATCAGAAAATAACATTAATACATGGAACACGCGTGTGTTCGCAGTTGACCAACTGAATGCGAAATAATATTTACCAAATTGAAATTTACTGGGAGAAGTGCACGGTAAATGGGAATAATGAAGCACAACTGAATATTAATGAGTCTCATGCGATCGCCAACCCCAAGACAGTTTAAGCTTGCAAAGCTGTGGACTTTTCGCCATCCAGCCGTTTTTTCTCTTTACCAAATTTTGGTTATGCATCAGTCGACCCATAAAGATAGAAGTAAGTGAACTGAAAACAGGAGCGATGTGAAGATGTAGAGTACGGGGTCAAGCTGGATAAGTGCAAAACATGAGTGCACACACCAGCACCACTCTTTATGACACCAGGGTCTATCAATTAACACCTTGGGTCATTGTTTAGGCTAGTCTCGAGGTGCCTAACTAGGTGGACAAACATGGCTTACATGGCCAAGTTTACTGATCATCTTTTTAAACCTTCATACCAGATCCAAATCTAGCCATGTTTGACTTTTTCCCAACCCCTACGTACCTCTGTAAACCATCCAGTAGCAATCGTAACGCAACACAGTCACCGTAATCTTCGACGATTAAGCACTTATGTTAGTACACAACGGGGATAGTCTGTTATTCTCCTTTCGAACCCCGCATGGCTCTTTAAATCATCCTACTAGGATCATGCAGCTTTCGAACAACGATAATCCGTGTTTTGATCTGTACCAAGTACCAGTACCGAGAACGCGGCTGCCGCATACACTCGATCCGTCACAGATAACCGCATATCCCGTCAGTGCCATAGACGTCTCAATTTCGCAAATACTAACACTTCATTCTCTAGTGTCAATGTGAGATTTGGCTATTCAAATAGAAAAATTTGTCTACTTTCTCCGTAGAAGTGGGGTTGACAACTAAACCAAACCAATTGTATAAAGGTATTTAACACTTAGAAGGTACAGAAAGCATACGGAACATAGCTACACAAACACTTGGACCATCTAAAGAAGGTTTTAACATTCGTGGTTCTTCAATTACCAATAAAATGTGATCTTCATACTCCATAGTATAAAAATTGTCGTCTAGGAGCACACTGACACTAAAATCCTCTCACAAGGATTATGAAGGAGAGAATGGGCTACTCTGATTAAAACCATTTTCCATGAACTGGAGGCAGCCAGGGAAGTAGACCCTTGTGAGTATGAACATTGTGCAATGCGGCGTGTTGTTCACGGATCGACAGAAAAGAGATAGAAAAACCATGAAACATTGACCTGAAAAGCTGAAGTACTGCAGGAAATATAAACACTGATATCGGCCGGTCAGGTAAAAATTCTACGGTCCGTCTCGTGGATGCCGATTGCCGCTGGATGAACTACCATGAGAATACAATTTGTAAATAACAGCTTGTATCATATTCTCTGAAAAGACATCAGCAATGGGATCAAGTACACTACACTATGCACCATGCAAATTACAGGGCGTACGCTCCCTTCAGAATGGACTAATTGAAATGCTTCTCAAGGGCGGTCGGGACAAGCAATTAACCCCTAATCCGAAACATATGCTCCCGTGGTCGTACAAACTGTTTTCTCTCAATTTTCAATTCAAATATGAATAACCGAATTTGCTATGATCGGGAGAAAGGACTCACCTGCTCTCGAATTTATTGGATAAATTGTGTTCAACCTGGAAGTAATCCTAAAACAAATAGAAACGAGTTAATAGGTACAAATAATCCTATCAAATATTCTGATTGCAAAATAAAGCTTTGAAGAACAGAACACTAACTTTACTCGTACTATTGTTTGATATGTGGAGTGCTAACCACAAGACCAAAAAACCTGAGCACTGGACGACATAGCCAACCCAGTTAGGACTGAGTACAGGCGGTGGGTGAATTCAGGGGATTCTCGTGCTCTGATGAGCCAACTCAAACGCAACATTGGTCTTCACTAATGACCAGCTTAGATTGATCAAAAACCGTAACAATTTTTATATAAACACTCCTCCTAATTGGCGCAGTTCACATTTTACACTCCCGTGCAGTAGTTCGTTGCTGTCTTTCGGGTGATCCGTTTGAATGAAGGAGTACGGGAAAGAATCAAGTTTGTGAATAAATTGAGGGAATGCATGAGGGCTACGGCTGACAGAAATTATTCATAGTATTCAATGTTCCTAACAGATGATTCGGCTGATTCCAAGATTCCCAATCAGGTATACTAAGGTGACCCACATATCCAAGTCTCTTGGTCAGGGTTTTTCTGTCCTCATCCCGGGTTTCAGTTTGACCACCTTCAATCTTCCTTTTCCTACTAATTGCCTCGGTAAACATCAAACACTGAGGAAACCTATCTGGTAACCTGCGCCGTATGTGTTCCAGTTGAGGCATTCCATGAAGACTGTATTGTATTGTATTGTACTTTGTATTGTATATTGTACCGTATTGTATACTGTATGTGTATAACTTTTGCGAGCACTGGAGCTCACATTTCAGTTAAAAAATCATACACACTAACCGTAACAATGTACATAATAAACGGAGAGAAAATTTTAAGACATAGGGACATTTCATAATCCAAGGTTAAGATAAAGTTCACTTATTATCCGCTCTTTGCTTATGAGTAGACGAGCAAGATACGGTATAGGTGAATGCGGTAAGCGTTAATCCGAGATGAAATTTGATGGAATTTGGAGCGTATTGAATGATGAGAACGACAACGTGTCAGTTCTGGGTATAATGGGTGGTCAGGATCTGTGAGAATCCTCTCCGCCATTTTCATACAGGAAGCTATGTAATACTCTGAAAGCTTTAAAGCTAACCCATTCACAGGAATAGAAGAGACGCTGCTAATAATAGTTAGACCGCGTCATAAGA